TGCTGAAGCATGATTCTAGAATGTCAGAGGGTGTAACTTCATGTGATTTCATGTTGTTCTGAAGAAGCATTGGGATCCTGGCAGTGTTGAACCCCCACAGTCCTTTTTAAATACCTCTATAGTAAGAGCTGGTCGGAACATTATTAGTGATCTGAGCTAGAGTTATCAAGATCGATCATTCATTCATTCATTCATTCATTCATTCTAGCCCAGGCTGGCCTAGAACTCCCTATGAAACTGAGATTTCATATGACTTTGAACTTTGGTCCTCCTGCTTCTCTTGAGGGCTAGGACTGCAGGCTTGTGTTACTTTGCCAAGCTTATGTGATGCTGGGGATCTAACCTTGAGCCTTGTTAGGCAAGTGTTCTCATGTAGTGAGCTACATCCCCAGCCCCTGAGCTAACACTTTTGAGACTCTTTGTTCTCCGTGTTACATGGGAAATCTGAAAACAAACTACCCTAGAGCAACTATAAAAGTAAACATGAAGATAAGGAGAGGCACACAGCCTTGACATTGGTGACGCACATGCTTGGCATGAGTCGGAGTTGAGTCTGCTCTGTAGGAGACTGTAAGTAGGTACTAGGCAGCCTCAACTTTTGAGAGTTATTCCAATAGGCAGTGAATTTTCATGTGTATCTGAGACACACTGTGACTGTTAATAATTAGCTTCCTTGTCTGTGTGAACATGGAGATTCATAAAGCCCAGTCCTTCAAATATATGAGTCATGTTGCTTGAGGTCTTTATTGACTATGCAGAATCAAGTGTGTTCGGTCCCCAACTAATGAAAGGAAAAGAAAAATTATTAAAAGTTGCTAGCTGTAGGGTATTACAGTCTAATTAGGTTTAAATACACATGATAGCCTGAAGCCAAAATCCACCTGTGACTGGTGTATATAATAAAACAGACTATGAATGCTGAGACAGTCTTTGGATTTCAACATTTGAATGGAGAAAATACTTGTGGAGGGCAGACAGGACCTATTAGAGTTAAATTCGGTGTCCAAAAATGAGCCACAAACTGAGGCAGAAAGAATGTGTCCATCCATCCAGTAATGTAACCCAGATCAGCCTCTTCACCCTCACCCTCCCTCAGACACTGGGACAGCTCCTTAGACAAGGGTAGAATAGAGCAGGCTCAGAGCTCCATCCCTTCCAGGCAATGTAGGCAGTCACAGTCATAGGGCACAAGGCACAGCAGATCACTAGAACAACTTTCTACTCTAATGGTGACTAATCAGGAAATGGGAGATGCTCAAGACTATTCAGGATATACTGATACACACACACACACACACATATACTGATGTTTTAAAATGAAGTTTTAATCATGCGTTGAATTGATCTCATTATCTTGGCTACCTTCATTAGCTTCATGTCTGTGTATGATAGCCCGAAGAGGGTTCCTTGAAATAGTCTATAATGTTCAAAGTAACCAACAAAATGCTTTTTTGTAGGGAGTGTTTAAAAAAGAAGACGATGTTGACATGCTTGGTGAAGAGTTCAGGAAAGCATATCAGAAAAGAGGTGAAGTCTGTGAAGAGAAGGGGTCTTCATAGCAAGACTGGGCAAAACCTGGAGTTCTCAGATGCTGCCACTAGATGTCAGCGTAACTGCTGTTTTACTGTGGGTGACAGTAGGCCCCGGTCTATCTGCATGTTCTAAAACATCCTCATATTTCATCATGTATACAGTTAGACAAATTAAACACATTAGTACTTTAACTGCAGAATTAGTCACTTTTATTCACTATGCATTCTATGACGCCATCATGTCCCAGAATTCCACAGAACCACATAGGCCAAACACAGAAGCTACTCGATGCTTCCAGTGCCACTGTTTGGAGATTTTTCTGTATATTCATTCTCCAGACAATGCAGATGTGTCTTTAACACACAGCTTTTTAAAATGTACATACTCCTGACAACAGGATGGTTATAATCATCTGGAGAAGCCCCCATACTGGCTGTTTTCTATGATTGTGTGTGCTCATTACATTCCCACCATTAGCCTTTAATGGTTCCTTTTTCTCCATAGCCTCCCAAACATTTATCTTCTAATTTTTTTAAAGGTTTGTTTTTATTTTGTGTATATGGGCATTTGTCTGCGTATTCGTATGTGCACCACATGTGTACAGTGCCTGAGAAAGCCAGAAGAGGGCGTCAGATCTCTGGAATTGGAGTAAGAGACAGGTGCCATGTGGGTGGAGGATCTACAGGGGCAGCCAGTGCTCATATAGCTCTCCAGTCCCCACCTCATATGTGCATTATTTTTGAGATTGTATTTATGTGTGTGTGTGTGTGTGTGTGTGTGTGTGTGTGTGTGTGTGTGTGTATGTATGCTATTTTAATTTGGCTGAGGTGTATTCTCAATATGGTTTTACTTCTTATTGCCCAAGAGTAATATTTTTAACAATTTTTCACATACTTACTAGTTGGTTGCACATCTTCAAGAAATGTCTATTTAGGTCTTTTTGTGTTGACTGTGTATCTCTGTCTCCCTACCCCTCCATGCTGAGTTCATACATGGTTGGTTTTATGGGGTTTTTTGTTGTTTTTGGTTTTGGTTTTGGTTGGTTGGTTGGTTTTTGTTTTTTGAGACAGGATTTCTCTCCGTTGCCCTGGCTGCCCTGAAACTCCCAAAGCTCTGCCTGCCTCTGCCTCCCAAGTTCTGGGTAAAGGTATGCATCACTATGCTGAGTTCATACGCTTTTGGATTTTAACATTCTTAAACCTATCCTGTATTTTGTTCCCTCTCTGTGTTGTTTTCTTTGCTATGCAGCTTTGTAGTTATTGCTTTTGTGGTCATACCTTTACAAATATAAACAAACAAACAATACTCTGCCTACATCTGTAGGCATAAATTTTCTGCAGCCTATTTTTAATAAGAGTTCAACCTCTCCTCTAGCCCATCACCCAGCAGAGGTAGTGGAAGAGAAAAGTTATTAGGATATGGGGGAAGTGGACCTGTTCGGCAATAGCTCTTTGGGGGCGAGCTGGATCTTCTGTGGCAGCAGTTCAGTCCCAGAACAAACACCAAATACAACTCACTCAGCAGCTGCAGACCAGTCCTTTTGGCAGGAATCTGACAAGCACTTCTTGGGCGAATTTCTCTCAATGGCAGCATTATCACAAATTATTCTCAACAATAAGGCAAACAAATGCATGTGTGTTGTTAGTGAAGCATAGTGAGGCGGAGCAAACCAAACCAATGCTCAGTGCTCGTCCCCACTGTCTGTGGGGTCACATTTATACTCCTTCATCATGGGTCCTTTCACATGTTTGCTATATCAAAACATCCTTTCACCTGTGTCTGCTTCAGAAAAACATTCTTTCACATGTTTGCTTTATCAAGGCATCCTTTCACCTGTGTGCCCCAGCAAACCATCATTTGACATAACTAACTTTCCAAAGAACTAGACATTTCCACTTCATAGGTCAACATGGTGGTGCTTTCTGCTATCTTCTAGTACCGTCTTTGCTAGTACAATTAGTACAGCTTCTTGTCGTCAGCTTTGAATTTAACACTTCGGTGATTTATGCTCTATGGTTCCTTGTGAATTACAGAATTGTTTTTTCTATTTCTGAAGAATGGGTGTTTCCACAGGGACTACATTGAGACTACAGGCCTCTCTGGGCAGTATGTAAAAGACAGTTTTCTAATTCATAAACATGAACTAGCTATTTACTTCTCCCTAGTTCCTGTCATCAATATTTTATAGTTCTCAACACAGCCATCTTCAATGTCCTTGGTTAAATTTAGTCTAAAGTGTTTTTATTAGACACTACAAATGGGATTACTGTAAATTTTCTCTCATGTTTTGCCATTAGTGTACAAAAATCCCACTACTTTCCCTTGTGCTATGCCAGGGATTAGACCTGAGGTTTTACACATGTTCTGTATGTGCTTTGCCACTGCGCTACAGCTCAGCCTGTGATTTGTGCTGTTAGTGCCACTGACTGGTATGTATTGGTTTTGTTACCTTGTAACTTTACTCAGTTGATTTGATCTGAAACATTTTTGATAATGGACTTCTTTGTTCACATTCTTCATGTTTTCTTTCTCTTGCTGGTTATCTCTGATTAGCATTTCTGCTAAGATTAAAAAATGGAGGCCAGACAAGGGCCTTGAATCCTTGGAACTGGAGTACACAGGTGGCTGTGAGCTGCCACGTGGGTGCTGGGAACTGAATTTGGGTCCTCTGCAATAGCAGCAATGTTGTTAACCACTGATCCACCAACTCCAGCTCCCAATAGAACTTTTTATTGTAGATTTGATCTACTTGATCTACTTTCTCACTATAGGTGTGTTCAGGTTTTCTGTTTCAGTTAATTCTTGGTAGTCTGTCTCCAGAAATTAATTCATTCTGTTTTCCAAATTATTCATAATCACTTATAATATACTTATGACCCCTGTGTATAGTACAATGAGTGTCCCTGTTTGCATCTCTAACTAGGTATTTTCTCTTGTTAGGTAAACGTTACTGATACTATCTTGACAAACCAACTGTTTCATGTGGGTTGAGTATATTCTGTATCTGCAATTGCAGATACAATTGATAGAAGTTGAGGTTTTTGTTGTTATTGATTTTTTTCATCTTGGAATATTTAAAATACATATAAGTCTTAAAAATGGGACCTAAATTTAAATGTGAAATTCATTGGTCTGTTTACTGAGACAATGTCCCCTGTCACCCACACTGGCACCAAGCTCCCTGTTGAACATAATACTGTTGACCCTCCTTGCTTTGCCCTGTATGCTAGGGTTACAGGGACAAGCCACCATACTCAGCTAAGATTAATCCTTTGGGGAGCTGTAGAGATGGCTCAGAAGTTGAGAGCACTGACTGACTGCTCTTCCAGGGGTCCTGAATTCAATTCCCAGCAACCACATGGTGGCTGACAACCATCTACAATGAGATCTGGCGCCCTCTTCTATCATGCAGGCATATATGCAAGCAGAACACTGCATAATAATAAATTTTAAAAAAAGAGAAAAAATTAAAAAGATTAATCCTTTGGTTTTATTTTTCAAATTAAACAGTCTTTAGTTCTTCATCTTAGTTATTATTTGTGAGTATGGATATGGCCGTGCTCGTCATCCTTGCATTTGGGAGTCGAGACAGCTTGCAGGAGTTAGTTCTTTTTCCACTGTGGAAATCAATGTATCAGGTTGGGTGGTAGCTGACCCTTTGTACTAAACCATCTCCCTGGCCTTTGTTTATTCTTAGTGTAATACACGTTGTACCCATACCCTCCAGGTAATTGTACACATTACTTTTGGTGAGCCTGTGTTTTGCCTGCAACCTGTCACATGAAGTCAGATTTGGTATTTACACATGTAGTGTCAAACTAGTGATCAAAACAGTATTTGGGATTTGACTTTTCAGGTTACTTTTGTAATGTATTCCTTCTCTGATCTTTCCAATTTTTCTTGTACTGACCATATTGGATTTGGTTTTGGTACATTACGTGGACATTTCTGCAGTGCTAAAATGACATTTTCTTTGTACAAACTTCCCTCAGAAATGATTTAATTGTACTGAATGTATTTTTATATCCTCATTTTGTGTAAAAAGTCTAGAATTAATTTATTCTCAATTCACTGGTTATTCAAGGAACATGGTATGTAATTTGCACATTTGTAAAGTTTTTAAGTTCCTCTTGTTGGTCTATTCTTTTATATCATCATAGTCCCGGAAGATATGTGGTATAATTTGTCTTCTTAAATTTGTTTAAGACACATGATCCATCCTGGACAATGTTCTATACACTCAAGAAGATACAGCATGCTGTTGGAGAGACTGTGCAGTGTCTTTTAGGTTCATTTAATAAAGAGTGTAAATTAAGTTCAGTGTGAATGGTTTTTTGTAATTTTTTTTTGAGACAATGTGTTATGTATCCCAGTTCAAGGGTGGCCTTGAACTTCTTATTTGGCTGGGAATGACCTGAATTTTTTACCCTTGTGCCTCTGTTCCTCTGTGCTAGGATCATGGATATAGATCACCAAACTAGATTATGAGGTGCAGGGGATTGAATTTGGAGCCTTGTATATGCCAGGCAAGCACTCTTCAAACTGAGCCACAGATAAGTTCATTGTTTCAATGCTTCTGTCTGACCTGTTGTTGAATATGGAGCAACAGCCATATCCTCTCCCACTGTAATACAGCAGTGTCTTCCTTTTTACAGATGTTTGTTATTTTAGCTCTATGGTAGATACATGTTCACATTGTACTATTGATGACTTAAAACTTTTACCGTTATATAAAGTTTTCTTTGCCTGTTTTTATACCTTTTGACTTAATGTCTATTGTAAGTACCCATTTTCTCCTGGTTTGCATTTCATAGAGTATCTTTTGTCATCTCTTCACATCCAGATTTCTGTTAAGTGAATCTCGTAGAGGCATCATATGGATGGGATTTGTTTACTCTGCCTTTAACTGCTGAATTTAATTCACCACTGTAGGCTTATAGTTTTCAAAACCTACTTTAATAAAGGTTCTCAAATGTGTCAACCTCCCTTTTAGCCTACTGACCAAATGTAGAGAAGGAAGATGGTTAACAGGACAAGAAGGATGTGGACCTGTTTAAAAGTAATTCTTTGTGGCAGTTCCAATCTTCGTTGTCAGCAGTCCAGTCCACTAGCAAAATACCAAACACGAATGTGTAGGAGCAGCTTAATCCAGAAAAAAATGCTAAGACTCCACCAATTGGCTCGAATTCACAGAAGTAGCCAGAATATCACCAATTCTTAGGTGCATTTCTCTCTACAAAATCATGACAAGCAAAGATCAGGAAGAAAGCAAAGCGAAGCAATGCAAGAGTGTTGTCCAGTGTCAGTTGGGTTATACTTATATCCTTTCCAGACATCACATGTCCTCTCAAGCATCTGCTCCAGCAGAACATCACATGCCCTTTTACCAGACAGCTTCCAGAAAAACACATGTATGTTATCAACAAAACATCCTCTCATAAGGCAGCTTCCGGAAAAACACCACATGACGCAACCTAGTCTCCAATGAAACCAGAAATTTCCACTTCAGCTCACACTGAAGGTAGTACTGAGTTACCACTGCTTTCACCAGCACTGTGTTTTCTACTTGCTTTGCTGATTCTTTCTTCCTCTTACTTTCTTCAAAGTTGAGTTTTTCTCAAAATATGTTTGCATCATTGCTTTTCACCCCATGTACCTGTTACAAGTTCTTGTTATTTTATACTTTTCTTCTACACTCTATTTTGTAGTTCACAATTACATCTTGTATATTGTTTATCCTTGACTAAATGTTGCCGCTTTTGTTTCAACACTTCCGACTTATTAAAAATGGGAATGATTTTCATGCCTCCATCAGTGTCAGAATACTCTGTTTGACTTCATGTTTCTTATTAGCATCCTTTAGCTAATAGCATTCATTAGCTTGAAGAACCCCTCTCTTGTAAGGCAGATAATGAACTCATATTGGCTAGTTTGAGAAAATGCTATCCAACATCTCTGAAGGATGGCTGAGCTGGGTACATTATTCTTGACAGGTTTTATCCTTCAGAACTTTGGCTAGATTGTTCTACCTTGTTACTGTCTGAGAGAGATGAGCTGCCAGGTGTCCAACTCCTTCAAGTGAATGCACTCTCTTTTCTTCATGCTTTTGGAACGTTGTGTCTGCCTTTGACAGGCTGATTCTATACCATGGGCTAATGTCACTTGGATTAAATCATTAGAACCCATGGATCTTCCTTTCCGTGAACATTTTATGTTCCCAGTTGAGAAAATGTTTCTTTAGTCCGTCTTAGGTGCCAGCTTCTCGTGTGTACTCATGAAGCTGCCCTCCTGCCCTCTTGTGAGTCTGCACTGACTGTCTCCAGGTTCACAGATCCTCCTATTAATACTCGACACTACTACATTCTCACTTTGCTCACTGATTATTGAATTGTCATTTTAAAATAAAACCTCTCATTTGAATCATCAGTCAATTTGTATATGTCCTTGGGGTCAACCAATGGCACCTTAGTTTCTCTGGCAATGTCCCCAACACTTTTAATCCTTATGGGCAGGCATCACCATCCATGCATTGGGAAAGCAGGCACTTACTTCAACCTAGAATGTCCAGCTACTCTTGTCAGAATCTCTTTAGGTCTAGATGTGAGTTCACTGCAGCACTTCAGGGTGCCTCAAGCCCGGGATCATCACAACTAGTTCAGAATGGACTACAATACAAGAAGCTGACAGGGTGTGGGAGCACAGGCACTAGAAGCCCACAGCTGACCAAGGCCTGTCACCTGGGGAGGTTTGTAAGTTCAGACACAATGCAAGGCAGTTGACCAGAGTGATGTGTGCTGGGACTTCAGTCTATCTTGCAGGAACCATGGGTTCCCGTTTAGCATATTTACTGGTCTGGAGTTGAACCAAGAATCTGCTAGGCTTTACTGTAATGAGCCCAGTGCTGGAGACCATGAAGTAGCTTTCCCCTGTCTTTCTGTGCTGTGCTGGAGGAAGTGTAAAACTGCCCTCACCCTCAACAAAGCTTTTCTTTTGCTACAATTAGGTGCTGTCACTTCTTACCTAGGTGTTCCCTGCCCTGAGATATACTTCAGAGTATATCTCTGTGTGCACAATCACTGAAAAAAGAATACACATACAGCCCCTCAAGACAGAGCCTGGTTCCAGCCTGCATCACTGCTGTTTGATGTAGCAGCCTTGGTGACATGTAGGCCTTCAGGCAGACCTCAGTAGCTGTGGGTTGGGATCTCTGGAGTCTTGCCATTTTCTCTGTCCTCTCCCAGGTCTGGTAGATCATAAAAAGGAATTAAAAGTCGAAGTCTTGCTTCTTTATTTCACAACTATTAATGAAAAAGGAAGTCAGACAGAGTTGCAGTCTGGCTTTATCCTAACATCTTCCGACATTCTGTTTACCTCAACCGGTCATTATCTAACCCTTTATCTCACAAATGTTCTCATTACTCATCAACAGTCAGACAGCTACAATTTGACATAAACTAACACAAATAAGCATCAAATTGAATTGCTCACTCATGAACTTCCCCACTCAAGAGCCTTCATAAACTCCTCCTCACTGAAAGACAGCATCTTGGCAGCTTCAATATGCATCTGTTTTTTTAAAAAAAAAATATTGTCCGATTTAGAAAAGGACACACAACAACAGAAAATTTATGTTTGTGTTAATATGCTATCAAAAAAATAAGCCCTATTGTTGGATTATATGTTCTAACTATGCAAATGTAACACTTTAAATGGATATTACAGTGAAAACCGAGCTACTGTTAATAATTCAATTTGACTATACCTGATCTTTGTAACAAGAAAGTGAGAGGTGAATTGTCTTTTTTCATGTTTCAAGAAAGATAGAATGTGCTTTGAAATTACTGCTCAAAGAATAAAGAGGGAAGTAATTCACTAAAATTAGTCATTCTCATGTATGGTACTTTCTGTAGTTAAGAGGAACTGTGTGTGTGTGTACATACATACATACATACATACATTCATTCATACATACATACATACATGCATATATAGGTGTGTATTCCGAACCCGTGAACCTCACTATGTATTATATAGTGGTGACCTCACATGTATATAGTGCATCTTCAGATACAATTTTATGTTAAGATTATAAACAAAGTAAAAACATAAACTCCTTGGTAGAAAGGTCTATCTGTAGCATATCTGATATATAGCTTCTATTGTTAGACTCACCTTCTGCCTTTTCAAAATGTCAATTAATTTCAACTGCTTCTTGAACCCCATCATTAATTCTCCTTTTTGTCTTTCTAGCTTCTTGTTTTCTGATTTCAACACTTCAATTTTTTGATGTTCTTCATTTGTAATATCCTATGAAAGCAAAAAAAATATTTAGTTGAAATATAAGATTGTTCTTTATATTACTAAATAATTTAATTGCAGCCAGCTTCCTCATTAAAACAATTTTCAAAATATATTTTTAAAATTAACTTTCAATTCTAAAAAAATCTAAATATCTAAACCTGATAGAACATAAGAATTTTCAGTAGCAGAATCTGCACATGGTATGACCCTCTGAGGTAAGAGCTATATTTACACTGTCATTCCTCACAGGACTTTCCAATGTACAAGTTTACAGTGGAGTTCTGCTGGGCTCAAGACAGAGGACAGAACTGATGAGATACTGCACACTTCCACGTTGGAAATCCAAGAAAGAGCCTCAAATTTTCACCACACATTTTCTTTAAACCACTGGCAGACAGAAGGACCATTTCTGAGATGAGAGTCCCAGAAGCCTGTGAAAGACATATTCTGAAGATCTGATAAGAGAACTCACCCACATCAACGACAAGGACACCAAATCTGAATGCTCAGAAAAGATGTAACAGCACAAGTTACTAGGTCCAGAAAGGTTCTGCACTTGCAGGACTGAAGAGAAGGTTTCACAAAAGGAATAAGACACCAGAAGGAGCTAAGATACCACACACACTTTTTAAAATGGAGAAGACTAGGACATTTGGAAACACTGTGGTAAATATTAATAGCCGTAAAGAGATTCTCTTCTTAAGGAAAAAGTGATGTTACCAATATGGTACTGAAACAGCAAACACGGACACTTTGTGAACTCTAGAAACCAAAGAGGCAGCAAGAGAGTAACTCATCAGGCAAACGCTACACCCAACCGGAGAGCAACTCTATGGTACCACAGACCACAGAGTGAGTTTACGTAATCTGAGTGAAGGGTGACATGACAGGGAAGGCAGAACTGTCAGTGTAGTTTGCAAAAGAGAGGTTTAATTTGCCACTTAAAATAGCTTCCTTTAACTTTACAGGTAACCATAAAGCACTCCAATGACAAAATAGCTAGAGAGCATAAATGAGAGGGGAACAAAAACTAGTTAAAGGCAAAACGATACACAGAGGACAACAAAATGTCATAAGAATTTTTTGTTGTTGTAGTTGTTGTTTTTCAAGACAGGGTTTCTCTGAGTAGCCCTGGCTGTCCTGGAACTCACTCTGTAGACCAGGCTAGCCTTGAACTCTCGAACTCAGAAATCCGCCTGCCTCCGCCTCCCAAGTGCTGGGATTAAAGGTCTGCCACCGCCGCCCAGCCCATAAGAATTTTTATATCAGCAATTACTACAGAGTCAGACAACTAAAAATGCACAAGATGGAAAAGATGGAATAAAACAGAACAGGATCCAACTACACTCTGCCCATAGGCGAGCAGGTTTAGCTCTAAAGACAAGTGCGGTGGATGGAAGAAGATAATCCATAGAAATAGTAGCCAAAAGAAATCAGTTTATTTTCATCTGATGACTGTTCCTCAGTCAGAATTATGAAGAGGCAAGAACATTACATAATGACAAAAGGGTCTATTCTCCAAGCTGTGACAATCAGCATGCCTAAAGCTAAGAAGCAAAAATGAATAGACTGAAAGGGGGATCACTACAATAAATGCAGAAGCTTGAGTATCTTACTTTCAATCATGCACGGTCACCAGACAGATCAATAAGAAATGGGGGCTGTGGATAAGTTGGAACTAAGTAAAAATATTCCTTCCAACAATAAAGGAATATAGTTTTCTCAAATGGAACCAAGTCATTTTCCATAATACATCATGATAGATCATAATTTTTAATAAGTTTAAGAAGACTGAAATCATGCAGTGTCTTATGTAACCATAGATTGAAGCTAGAAATGAAATATGTGTAAACTAACATATACTGAGTCAGCTTTCTGGTCTGTAGCACAATGCCCAAAACAACTTGAGGGAGGCTTGCTTTCCTCAGTGTCAGCAGTTTGTGTCCACATTCCCTGGCCCATGTGCCTCAGGCCTGTGGAGCATAGTCTGTCAAAAGGAAAGCACACAGTAGAGGACACTGGACTTCATAAAGAAGCTAGGAAGCAAAGGGAGAGAAAAGGGCTCAGTTCCCAACAGTTCCTTCAAGGTCACACCCCTCAGTGGCCTAATGTCTTTCCACAAGGGCCCATCTCCTAAAAGTTTTACCACCACCCAGTAATACAGACACAGGGATCAACCAAGCCTTCAGTGTAAGCTTTTGGAGACATTCAAGGGCCCAAAACTCAAACTACCACTTTTCAAAGAATATTAGAAAATGGTTTCAAACACCAGCATCTGCAGGAAAAAATATTACACTCATAGGTAGGATCCTCATAGCCATGATACAATGAAAAATATTACACTCATAGGTGGGATCCTCATAGCCATGATACAATGAAAAATATTACACTCATAGGTGGGATCCTCATAGCCATGATACAATGAAGATCAAATGATCTCAAATCAACCTAACCTTTCCTAATAGCAAAGAAAGAACCTGAAGCTGGCAGAAATAGAAATGGTAAATTTGAGAGCATATATAAGTGAATTTATAGATCAAAGAAACAAATTAAAAAGTTTGCTCTGTGACTACCAACAAACCTTTAGGTGCACTGGCAAAAAAGGAAGACCGAAGTATGAAAAACCAGAAACCATGGAGAGGCCATTTCAGCTAACTTCACAGAAATAAAAAGGATTGTACGATTATAACATTATGTGGCCTAGAAAAAATTAATTCATATAAGCTCAATTCACCAAAACTTAATACATATTTCAGAGTTTAGGAGTCTGGATCACTAATCAAACTCTTAAAAAAAGAAGAGAAGCAGAAGGCCTGACCAGTGAGTTAGTTCTACCATACATACCCTTAAACACTTGACACCATTCACTCACAAGTATCCACAATACTTCTCTCTTGAGGCTGAGTAACAGTAGAGAAAAGGTTATTTTTTTAATTAAAAATATTTTTATACCAATTAGTTATCCAATACCTGGCCAGTCTGGTCCTGCAAACATACCCACAAGTAACAGTATACAGACTAAGAAGGTTTAGGAATATCTATTTATGTATGTATGTATGTATGTATGTATGTATGTATGTATGTATGTACAGTGAATGAAAAGAGGCCACAAAATTGAAAGAGAGCAAGGAGGGGTGTATGGGAGAGTTTGGAGAGGGGAAAGAGAAGCAAGAAATAATGTAATCATCTCATAATTCTCAGGGAAACATTACTTATAAACCATAGTCAAACTGAAGACATTACAAGAAAATTTCAGACCCATACCACTGATAAAATGTGGTGAAAGCAAACTCAATAGTACATTAAGATAATGACAGACAATGACCAAGTGAGATCTTCAGGACAAATGATGGTTTAACACAAAATTCAGTGTTAATATGCTAATGGATAAAGAGAAAAACCACATGATTATCTCTGATGATACTAAAAAAGAGTCAATTACCTTTTCATGAGGAAAAGTATTATACAGAAGGAATCTACCCCCAGATAATAAAGGCCATACACAAAAAGCCCTCAGCTCACACACTTGAGTGGTGAGGACTAAAAGCCTTCACTGTTGGTCAGGATCAAGGTAAAGGCAGCAGCTTCTGTCACTTCTGTTGAATGCAGCACTGAAAGTTATCGCCCAAACAACTGGGACAGAACAAATGACATCCACCCTGGGGAGAAAGATGATTCCTCATAGATGACAAGACTGCAGCTGTGGAAATCCTTAAAGACTTCTAACAAAATCATGATAACCAAGAAATGGATTCAGCAAAGCTGTAGGCTACAAAGACAACACACAAAAGGGTTCCTTTTGCAGACTTATATTGGGCAGCTCAAAAAAATCAAATATTTATATATTTAGAATAATTATAACAGTGTATCATTGGTGTGTACACACACACACACACATATTGCAGGATTTCCTAGAACCATTTTTCAAGAGACTATCTTTTCCTGATTGCTTGACACCACCTGTGTAAAGATCGTGTATGCGAGGGTTTCTGAGAGCTCCATGACATTTACCTGTATTTAATTTTTTTTGTTTTCTTGTGTTTGTTTATTTGTGTTTTAGTGTTATTTATATGTTTGAATGTTTTGTCTCCAAGGAGTCTGTGCACTGCATACATGCTGGGTGCCAACAGGTCAAAAGAAGGTGTCAGTCCCCCTGGAACTTGAGTTATAGCTGGCTATAAGCTGCTGGAAACTGAACCTGAATCCTCTGCAAACACAGCATATGCTCCAGATGCATGCACGCACACACGCACGCACACACTTGCGCACACACATGAACACTGAATGGGATAAAGACTTGAGCAAAAAAGGCTGAAGGTATAAAACTCTTAGTGACACTGGACTTCTTGGATGACACCAAAGGAAAATAAATTGGACTGTATCACACAAAGGCCATAGAGGACACAATAAACGTTGAAAAGGCAGTCTGATGAATGTGAGAAAATATTTGCAAGCCATATATGCACAGACTTAATGTCCAGAATATACAATAAAATGTAAAAATTAACAAAGGACTTGACCAGATGTTTCTCTAAAGACAAACAAATGGTTACTAGATTCAAGATGCTGAACACATTACTTATAATTAAGGATGTGGAAATTAAAACCTCAATGAAGCAATCAAAACTCATTAGGATGACTGGTATCAATAAAAATCAAAGTAACTCATGTTGATGATATGGGAACTCTTGGTCATTTCTACAAGTGAAAATGTGAACTGATGCAGCTGCTATTGAAACCAAACGAACCTCGCCTCTGATACTGCAATTCTACTTCAGAGTATATACTCCAAACAAAAGTAAGGCCTCAGATCTGGGCCTCATTATTTCCAGTGGCACTCTGGATACTACCCAACAGTACACAACCCAAGTGCCCATTGAGAGATAAAAACAAAGAGTGGCATGTAAATATGATGGGTTGTTACTGAGCCTTCAAAACAACTTAAATTTGGAAAGATGGAACAACCCCAAGAACTCTGTTCTAAGCTAAAAAAACAAAACAAAACA